GTCATCTCAATGTCCCAGAAAACGCATTTTATAAACTCTAACACACCTTCATGATAAAACATTCAGCCAACTAAGAATAGAAGGAAAATTCCTCAATCTGATAAAGAGCATCTACTAAAAGCCCACAGTTAACATACTTAATGGTGAGAGATGGGATGCTGTCCCTTCCCTCTGAGATCAGGAACAAGAAGAAGACGTATGCTCTCTCCACTTTTATTTAACATTATACTGGAGATTCCAGCCATGGCAGTTAGGCAAGGAAATGAAGGAAAAAGCATCAAGGTTGGACGTAAAGGAGCAAAACTATCTCTATGAAAAGGTGACATGATCTTATATACAGAAAATCCTAAGAATCCACTAAAAATTATTAAATCATATTTTTAAATTCTTGCTGAACTAATAAATAAGTTCAGCAAGACAGCAGGATACAAAATCAATATACAAAAACCAATTGCATATCTATATACTAGCAATTAATAATCTGAAAATGAAATTAAGAAAACAGTTCTATTTACAATAGCATCAAAAAGAACAGAATACTTAAGAATAAAATCTAACAAAAGAAGTGCATCTCATACTTTTAAGAACACTAAATCTTGCTGGAAGAAATTAAAGACCTGAATAAACAGAAAGACGTCCTGTGTTCATGAATTGAAATACTTAATATTGTTAAGATGGCAATACTCCCCGAATAAATCTACAGATTCGATGTAATCCCTATCAAAAGTCCAGCTGGCTTCTTTGCAGAAATTGGCAAGATGACCTAAAAATTCATGTGGAAATTCAAGGGACCCAGAATAGCCGAAACGATCCTGAAAAAGAAAAACAAATTCAGAGGACTCATACTCCCCAGTTTCAAAACTTACTATAAAGCTATAGTAATCAAGACAGTGTGGTACTGGCATGGGATAGACATATAGAACAAGAGAATAGAACTGAGAGTCAGAAATAAACTTATATGTATGGCTAACTCATTTTCAAATAGGTTAAGACCATTCAATGGGAAGAGAACAGTCTTTTCAACAAATGATGCTGCGACTACAGGATAGTCACATGCAAAAATACAATTAGATTCCTGCCTCACACCATATACAAAGATTAACTCGAGATTGATCATAAGCCTAAATGTAAGACCTAAAACTAATTCCTAGGAGAAAATATAGAAGCAAATCTTCATGTCCTTGGGTTAAACAAAGTCTTCTTAGATATGCCACAAGTGGCAAAAGAAAAAAACTAGATATATTGTGCTTTGAAAGATACCATCAATGGGCCGGCCCGGTGGCGCACTGGAGAGTGCGCCGCTTGGGAGCGTGGTGGCACTCCCGC